CCCGTGTGCAAGTTGCGCTCGTTTAATTTAAGATCGCTTGAGGCTTCAGCCGCAATCCGCGCAAAATTCAAAATTAATTTCTATCAAACTGAAATTTTTTAAAGGGTAATGCATCCTACGCGCTCACATGACCTTACGCAGTTGTGAGTGCTGTAAAACACTTACCAAAAAATAAATAATAATATGATTTTTTAATAAAATGTACAAAAAACCAACCAAAAAACCCCCAACTCCCCACACAAAACCTAAAATAATAACAAATCAAACGATACGAATTAATAGTAATAATAGCTCTTATACAAGTTTGTCAGCGCTTGATGTTTGGCATCCTTTCTTGGCAAAAAGTTCATTTATGTTTGGACGAAGTTTATAACCTGTTATGGAAATTCCTAGGTTGGACTACCTAATGTTCTCTCGCGTGCAGGATTTAATTGTTCTCCCAGGCCGGATGTGGGGCGCTGGCCTTGATTTTGACACCTGTGCATAATTTAATCAAAAGAGAGAACAAGAGTGGTTTATCACCCCCACCTCCCACCCAACAGTCCACACCTGGGTTGTTTTTTTTACGTCACTCTGGGATGTGCTCGTTTCTACATTAACTCTTTGAGGACGAGCTTTAATGTCGTTCGACAACGCTTACAGGACAGACACACGCTGCATTTGGTCTGCTGCTGATTGGGCGAACTTGATGACTCCTCCATCCCCATCCCCCTCATAAAAAAATAAAAGCTTAAAAAGTTAAAGAAAATGAAACCCACTTTAAATACAGTGAACTCCTTTGGTAGAAACATCGCCCACTTGTTATTTTTTGCCTACTCCAAGCAAAGCATTGCATGCAAATTAGATAATTTGCTTGCTTCCCGCAAAGTTTATCGTGCAACACGATTTCGTACATGCAGTATCTTTTGCCTTGAGTGGAAACTGGAGCTGCTCCTCGATTCACCCAAGAAAACGGATATTTTTGGTCCCAATTTCATTTAATATTTGCTAGAAATAATTGTTTTACAATAGATCCCATAGATTTGAGCCGTTCTTACAAGGAATTGAGGCAATCATTTCAATCTGAAGGCTTCATAGCCTAGATTTGGACTTGTCTAGGTCTAGGTCAGCTCTGTGTAGCGTCAAACCATAGACTCGTGATTTTGCCTGTCTTCGGCAAGCGGCAAATGGGCGCGTATCATTTTTCGTGCCTATCATTCGGGCGATGACGTCACGAAAACGCATTGCCTGGAACATGCACAAATTTATAGTGGGCATCCCACTTAAAGGAACAATCGGGACAGACAGTTACACAATTTACTACAGGAAAAAGGAATCCACATTACCACTAAATCTATTAGATTCACAAAAGATGCTCAACATGGAAAACGTACCTTACATTCTCGTGTTCTGACTACACGTGTGCAGTGTTCTGACACTGCTGGGATGTGGAAGGTCTTACAAGATCCTGTCTAGATTTTTGAGGTCCTCTCATGCACATTATCTGGTCTTTTCTGTTTCCTAGTTCAAACAATTTACAGAGTTAACTTTTTAAGTCCCGTAGAAATGAACGTCATCGCTAAAGCCAAAAGGGCATTCGAAATTCTATCTCAGTCTAATTTGTCTTCAAAATCCACCCACTCATTGATTTTCTATCTCTAACATTGTCTTGGGTTATTCCTTGGTTAAAAAAAATATTTTCTATAACTTCATTTTAAAATCGTGCTATAAGATTCTCTAAGTCAGGGACGTTGTCAAGCCTAGTTCACTGCTACGCCCTCGAACAGACTTCCTCTGGTGTTGTTGCGACTGACGCACGATCTGATTCCACATTTCGCATATTTTGTCCGTGAATTGTACCTTCCTCAATGACTCACTGACAGACATTCTCTCACCTCCACCTTGAGCTGTTCGTACCCCCCCCCCCCTTTCCCCCGATATTGCTCTTTCCGAAGGTGTTCTAGATTTAGATCAGGAATCAACTCCTATTTCCCGCGATAACAGCTTAAAGTTGTTGTTTTTTTGTTCGGACTTGAATTCAGCAATTTTCTAACGCAAAAGGTCTTTCCGGATTACTCCAAGACATGACTGGTGCAGCGGTGCTCGTCTGATCAGTTCATAATTGAGCATACATCATGGCTTCCGCGTCATTCCACACCGCTTCCACATAATTTCTCTCAAATTTGGTGCAGATCCGTGTGGAATTGGAAAAGTTATTAACTGTTTTCTTGCGGTCATCAAGTCTGGGACAGTAGGTATGTGTGACATCATCATAGTAAAATTGGGCCGTCGTCAAATTAATGAAATAAAGGAAATTTTAAAAAATGTCCACAAAGGCACAACATAATTTAAATTTGGAGTTTTCAAGGGCACCTAAGCACTGAAAGTCCCCGAACTTTGGCGGTCATGTTCTCGCTGACTTTGCCTCTGACACCAGGAGACTTTCAATCGCAAACAGCGTGGAAAGGAACTGGCCACCCTACCACATTATGCTGAAGGCCCAAGAAGTTGTCTCGCTGAAAAAGCAATCCTCAGTTCGGATCGGATGCAGGAACAACTTTACTTATTTTTTACCTACGTTGAGTATTTTTTTCTTACATTTTAAAATATTTAGTGTTTGAATTTCGACAAAATATTTCTTGAGCATAATATTGTGTAACGAATACCAGAGATTTAGTAATTCTTATTGCCAAACAAAGAAAATGTAAAAAATAGTTTAAGTGCATTGTAACATCTTGAGGACGATAATTATGCGTCGGCTGTTGTCTGGAAGAGTTAACCGGTATACTATGGAATGCTGCCGTCATTTTAAAAAATACAGTATGTGCAGATTTTTACAATTTTACATAAGGGCCAGAATTACCGAATACTGTTACTCAGAAAACAATCTCTTGTTTGCTCTCAAGTGAATATTTTTAAGAACACAATTTTGATAATAACTTCCTTATTATTCGTTGTTATCTATGAAGAAAATATTGTATTTTTGGTAACAATATTCGTTTAAAAAAAAACAACCTCTCCTGAAGTGATTATAAAATAGTAGTATATTATAACTATTTTGGGCTGTCCGGCAACATTGTAGAAACTGCATATTCGTATTTTTATTTATTTATTTTATTTTGTTTTTGGTTTGTTAGTTTGTTTGGTTTTTAATTTAATTTTTTTTTGGATGACGGCAGAAAATCCCACCGCCTTGGCGGTGTAACAAAAGTAGTTGAGCTCCTGACATGATCTTAATCACGACCTTGTCTCGACAATGTAGATAAAAATTGGAGACAGAGCGGGTCTGAAGAGCGGTGAAGCCGGGCTGTGTTATCGTATAACACGTTCAGGAAGATCAACGAGGGCAGGCAGGGCGCACTGACCCATCTGGCGTGACCGGCATTCTTTATACATGTATTATTATGTGATGCAGCGTGGTGAAATCTTGTGCTCTTCAAAATAATTGAATATATACCGGGGTACACCTTGACAAAAACCTGTCTGTTTGGGCAATTCTATTCTGTTTTTTCTCTTCTTTTCTTGTTTTTTAATTTTAAAAAAAAATTGGGGGGTGCACCACATATTATGCCCATGTATAAACACATCAATGTGTGCATTTTACAGAAAGACGTTGATGAAAGCATACAAAATGCAAATTTGCAGTTTCAAAGGCCTCTCAAGCTATGAAATTCATCAATTTTGTCGGCTATATTTTAGCAATTTTTTTTTCTATGACACCTGTTCAATTGTGAATATATCTACCTCTATTCAGCATGACTGGGCATCAAAATGTTTAATACAATGTAGCAGAAAAAACACGTTTAAAGATGATACTATCAATAGCTCTCTATGCATAACATTTGGTGAGCGCCTGATTTCACCGCGTCGCAACACATTACTATGTTTCTCTGACTCTGTCTGTCTGATAATGTCCCTATCTGTGTCTGTCTGCCTGCCTGTCTGTCCGTATGTCTTTCTTTTGCTCTACCCCCTCTCTGTTGTCTTTTCTCTCTCTCTCTTTCTCTCTCTCTCTTCTCTCTCTCTCTCTCTGTCTCTCTCTCCCACTTTTTTTCTCTCCCACACTCTAACTCGACCTACCTCCCTACTTCATCCGCTGCATCTCTCTCTCTCTCTCTCTCTCTCTCTCTCTCTCTCTCTCTCTCTCTCTCTCTCTCTCTCTCTCTCTCTCTCTCTCTCTCTCTCTCTCTCTCATTACGCTTGAATGAGCACGCGCGTGTGTGGGTTTTTTTCTGTGTTTGTTTGTTTGTTTGTTTGTTTGAGTGTACATGTTTTTAAAGAATAATTGTTTTCGTATATGTGAATGTACGCTGTTGACAAATTACCCAACGAAAATTACCAGTGCTCAATCAAAAAATAACTCAATGGATCAGCCAAGACTATTCCCCCAGTGGTAGGCTCTCCCGGCCTAGAGGTTAAAGAGTTGGCCTCTCTTTCAAAGGTCTCGTGTTCGAAACCGGGTAGCGACTGAAAAAAATGTTCTTCTCTAAAATGGTTTCCTTTCACCTCCTTTCCTGCTCTCTGGTAATGTTCTGTCGTCTGCGTTCGTCTCCCCTTTCTGCCCGCACCTCCTCACCTCCTTTGCCCACCTTCTCTGGGCGCCTGACTCTTTCTGCAGCCTTTCTACTGCTATTCCCTGACTCTTTCATACTGCTGTCTTTCAGCCACATCTATGATCTTCTGGTAGGAAAGATCTACACCTAGCCTTCTCGGAAAAGGGCGAAAAATGTCGGAGGGCCTGCATGCAAGTTGCGCATATTAAAGATCCCTTGGTGGTCTAAAATGGATAAGAGTAGGCGTCGGCCGCCACCCAGGCAAAATTCAAAATTTCCTACCAACAGAAAAAGTTTAATGTGTCCCGTGCGCACATATTATGACCCTTTGCAGTTGTGAGCGCTTTAAAACACTTACCAAAACAAAACAAAAATAGCCCTAGTGTTCTTAACAGTATGACGTTACACAATGTAAACGAACAAGTGCTACGTGTTTCCTCTATACATGTACGTCTAGACGGTCCACAGATGCACACTACTATAGGCACTAGATACAGTGCGCCCCTCTCTCGCCTTGATGCGCTATGGCCACATTCGACAGCGGCTTTCCCCGTGCTTTTTGTGGCAAGCTGTGTGAAGGAGTTCATGCTAAAGCAATGGGCCAGGCCATTGACGATGTAATGAAGGAAAACAGAAATCACCGAACTGTATGACAGAAGCAGTGTTGAGTTGTTAAAATCCATTTGTGCAAAAGAAAAAGATAGCAAGCTCAGCACTAATCGCAGTCTGGCTATGGTTTCCTTTGTCACTAATATATCCTATACATTACATCATACATTTTAGACACGATGAAGGTTACAATAGCAGCCTATCTTTGGTTGCTCCCATCCATCATCATCCAATAAAAATATCATTGCTGATACTTTTATATTAATATGATTGTTCTTGTTTAATATCCTAAATCAGTGAGTCAAGTGAGTGAAACTAGTACCTCAGATTAGTAGATCTAGCTTGAATCTTGTGATGCTAAAAATAAGTAATTAAATACAAAAGCGAGGCAAAATTGCAGAGCTTTGATCTTATATTAATTAACTGAAACGTAGGCTTTGACCAGACAGAGCTCCTAATCTTTTCGAATATTTTCTTCAAAACGTAGATCTGGATCTCATCTGTCTAAATTCTTATCCATCTTATTCTTACCAGTGAAAGAAAAGAGGGGTTTCTTTGGAGGCTTTTTTTAGTGCACTGATAGACACATCATTCTTTCTGGTCTCGTTTTCTTCAATCTTCCACTTCCAGACTAATCAGACGTTTGCTGGTGATACATTTATTGTGAGAAAGTCTCTAAAGCTGTAAGACGTTAATCCAGAAAGGGACTTGAGGTTTCACATGTTTGCACTTTTAAGAGAATCTCTTTGGATTAAAACACAAAGTTAGAATCTAATAAAAGACTTTCCTCAATAAGAGCAGAGACACACCCACTCACATGTAAACAAACTTCTTTGCCAATACGAAAATGGCCGCCAACCAACTCAAAAGTTTCCGTGTCTCGTGACCTCATTCGGACTCTAGTTTAAAAAGGAAATAACTTTATGAGACGGCCAAAGGAAGAAATATTCAAGCCTTGCACTAAAATTCTAATGTGGGGCTTATGCGGTGTATAATTAGAGATCGTGCAAGGCGGGGGTGGGGGCTCAGACCTTGGAGTTACTCCAAGGTTCAGACTGATCATGTATCATGTAAATGGCGGCTCGCCGGCCATGCAGCTGAAGGCGAGACAACCCCCCTCCCCCAATAACAATCGTTTATGAAGGTATTGATATCCCTGTGGGAGGGAAGGGGGGGAGGGGAGAGAGGTACAGAGAGAGACACACACACAGAGAGAGAGAGAGAGAGAGAGAGAGAGAGAGAGAGAGAGAGAGAGAGAGAGAGAGAGAGCAACGAGAGAAAGAGGGAGTAATGGGAGAGAGAGATATATAGAGAGAAAGAGAGATAGAGAAACTACCTGAGAGAGAGAGAGAGAGAGAGAGAGAGAGAGAGAGAGAGAGAGAGAGAGAGAGAGAGAGAGAGAGAGAGAGAGAGAAATAGAGAGTCCAGGAGAGAGATGCAGTGGATGAGGGAGTGAGGTAGGCCAGCATAACGTTACTGCAATGAGCCCAAGTACAATAATTAATTTTACAGTTACAGTCAAACCTACTAAAATGGCCGTCTTTATGGTAATAATAATAATAATAATAATAATAATAATAATAATAAAAATAATAATAATAATGATAATAATGATAATAATGTTAATAATAATAATAATAATGATGATGATGATAATAATAATAATGATAAAAATAATAATAATAATAATAATAATAATAATGATAATAATAATGACGATAATAATAATAATGATGATAACAATAATAATAATGATAATGATAATAATAATAATAATAATAATAATAATAAAAATAATAATAATAATAATAATAATGATAATAAAAGTTATAACAAAAATAATAGCAATAATAATAGTAATTAGATATACAGAGCGATAGATAGATAGATAGATAGATAGATAGATAGATAGATAGATAGATAGATAGATAGATAGATAGATAGATAGATAGATAGATAGATAGATAGATAGCGCTAATTCTCGCTCAACAGCAAACTCTATAGTTACGCTTTACAAGCTACATTGCAAACGCCCACTTCCCATTTCCTCAAAGACTTGCGTATATTATACATTGCAATAACACTGTGTAAGACAATCCCCTGTTTAAGACAATCCCCTGTTTAAGACACCCCCCACCCTTTTCTTGTCGACAATGGGTGGCTATCTTGGACAGTTCTCTCCCAGACCAATCAAAAAATTGTGCTCGTTGCACCGCGAAAACGGTCAGGGTGAAGATACTCGAACGTCTGGAGAAACAGAGGAAGACCACGACATTGCTGGAGTGACTCTGTAAAAGAGGTAACACACATTCAGTGAAAACTGATATGCCCGACCTCATCCTCATTAAAAATACTTGATTCAACAATAGTTAACAAACAAAACAAAAAAGAAGCCCCCCCCCAACAAACCCCCCCCAAACAAACAAACAAAAAAACAAAACAAAAAACAACCAAAAAAAAACAACAACAACCAAAAATCCCTCTAAAAAACAACACTCTCAAAAATACAAAAGAACTCCAAAAAAAAAAAATCATCTTCTTCTCTTGTTATCTTCAACATTCAGTAAGAAGAAGAGTAACAAGTAATTTATATATAACTTTGTGTACGAGTTTTAAGAAAATCGTTGGCGAGCTGCAGGCTTTGCAGACCGTCTGGAGGGGGCTCTTGTGGCCTAGAGGTTAAAGTGTTCACCTCTCATCCAAAGGTTTCAGGTTCGGACCCGGAAAACGACGGAAACATTTTGTTCTAAAAAATTGTCTTCTTTCACCATCTTTCCTGCTCTCTAGCCATGTTCTGTCATCTGCTTTCGTCTCCTCTCCCTCCCCCCCCCCACCTCACCTCCTTTGCCCCTTCCTCTGGGCTCCTGACTCTTTCTGCAGCCTTTCTACTGCTACTCCTTGGCTCCTTCTTGCTGCTGTCTTTCAGCCACACCTCTGATCTTCTTGTTAGAAAGATCTACACTTACCTAGACTTCTCGGACAAGGGAGAAAAATCTCGGCGGCTCCGTGTGCAAATTGCGCACGTAAAAGATCCCCTGGAGGTGTAAAATCGATTAGAGTAGGCTTCGGCTGCCACCCGGTAAAAATTCAAAATTTCCTACCTAGTGAAAATGTTTAATGTGTCCCGCGCGCTCATATGGCCTTATGCAGTTTCGAGCGCCGTAAAACACTACCCCCCCCCCTTCTAAAAAAAAGACCAGTTAACGACAGATGTCGTTTATAAATATTATATTAAAAATTACGTCTTATTGTATCAATAATTCAGAATCATCACCATCCTCATCCTCATCCTCATCCTCATCATCATCATCATCATCATCATCATCATCATCATCATCATCATCATCATCATCATCATCATCATCATCATCATCATCATCATCATCAAATTTTAATGCCAGATGTGTAATAGACATCAGCCTTCATGGTTTTCCATTTATTCATGTGCTTGGATGCTCTAAAAACGTTACATTATTCCGATCCTTCCCCGCGACACATCTGTTCAGGCTCTCCAAGTAGGTTGCTCTGTTTGCCTTCATTTTTTTTCCAGCGAGAGCTAGATATTCAAAAGACTTTATGTCGATTAAAGTGTCCCAAAACTGCATTTCGCTAGCCGCGTGATTCAACCGTTTAAGTCCAAAATATTCGAAAATCACTTTTAATACCCTTTGTGTTACAGCTTTTGATACTCCCTATGTTAAAATCCCGACTTTGAAAGATTACTGCAAAGTGTTTTAATCCTTCAGTAAATCAATCGCCTATTTCACATCAGTCCCTAATTTCCACGTGATTCAACCGCCTAAGAGCCAGTTTTGCAGCCTGCTGCGAATGGGCGGTTGAATCAGGCAGCGTTGTGTTGAGGTGTTCACCTGTCGTCTAGGCGGAGCGACCCACACGACTGTGGCGTGTTTCAAAACGGGCTGGAGGGTAACATTAAAACAAAGTGCCGCCTTAGTTAACTTCGACTAAGATCAAACCTTATCGATAGCCAAACCAGGCAGTTTGCGTAATCCATCACTAGGTTTGGTATTTTAGTTTTGAAAAGGCAAGATGACATAAAAGAATAAATTTATGTTAATTCTGACTTCACCAAGTCGGTAAATTAAGGCAAAAGCTACTAAATAATGTCTTTAAAAAAAGTCTGATTGGTAGCTTAGGCACGCTTATTTTACATTCGGCACTACCACTGGAAAGTAATAATTAATTTTCACAACATTTTGCCTTTCTTGATTAATTTTGTGCGCTCCTTGCCAGGGTATGTGTGCAATGTATCATTCTTGAATCATTGATCAGTTGATCAGTGCCGGGTAGATAATAAATTTGTAACTAAAAAAAAGCAACTTATTAACACATTCAGATTGCACCCTAAAGTCTTCCTTTAACAAACCTTCAACTTCATCTTTCCAGCTCTACACTTCCATTTGAAACAAATTTCCGGTGAATTCTACCTGAATGCAAAACAAGCATGAGTGCAACTGCCGTCACACAGTGGTTACTCGTGACTGTTGCCAAGATAGTTCACATGACTTGGCGATGAGGGTTCCATGATTGTCATATTACCCGAGAGCAGAAGAGGACAAGCAATTTTGTAATATGTAATGCTTTGACGAACTTGACGAAATTGCTTTCCCATTACTACAGACAGAATACAAGCAAAGTCTACCTTGAATCACATTTTCAAAGACTTGGAGGCTTTTTTAGGGAGTAAAGCGGAAATGCGAAGATTCAAATCTAAACACATTGTCCCATACGACTTCAGAGAAATATTCAAAAGGTTGTTGTTACATGTATCTCGAAAGGAGCAATGAGATGTATGCAAGGTAGGAGAAAGTATCTAACAAGAAGCTGGCACAAAATCCAATGAATGGGGCCAGATTGTGTCGAGTGTGCAAGGACCCGGAAGCGGATTTGTTAGTACTGCGTTGAAAGCATCTTCTGAACTGCATCGTAACAGGACCAAATTAGCTGTCTATATAATATTTGTTTTCACCTTTGGTCACCAAAGAAGTGAAGTGTCACGTTGGGCACGAAGGAGAAGGGCCGTTGACTGCCAATGAAATCTCTTCTTGTGTCAGTAACTTCCCTGAGGAGCCTACTGTCAGTGCCGCTTTCATTATGTATACAGTGATGGCAGTGCTTATCAGACCCCAACGGTATCTTGTCAAATACGATCAGCGACATTTGTACTAGATAGGACAAAACTGTTGAAGACAAATAACTTGAAAAAGGACAAACGTAAGCGGACAGCACACACAGTGTAATCGAAAGGTCCCTGAAAATGGTCTTGTCAATGTACTCATTGATAACATTGGAAGGTTTTAAGAAAGCAACACAATGCCCCCCACCCAAGCACCCCCCTCCCCCCCTTTTTTTTTGATGTTCGATTTCTGAACCATTCAGACCTGACCGAAACAAAAGCGACCCGGGT